GGCTTACAATGTGTTAAGCAATAGCCTTCATACTTTCGTATATTTATACAAAGTCAGCTTATTGCCCCCACAAACTGGATCCTCATTTCACCTACCTTAGAAAGGATGGAAGGCTGAGTCAACCTTGAGCCTTGGAGAGATTCGAACCAGCAGTAAATTGCAGGCAGCTGTGTTAATAACAGGGTGCGTAGACCACTGTACTATCAAGGCTCTTGTTAATACTAATGTATCATTTTTGCTAGTTCCGGCTGGACATTTGAAAAATCATAATCCTGTGTTTATTATAAGCTTTATTCACAACCATGATTATACCTTGAATCTGCTGTTGGACATATATCCCTGGCCATATCATGATGCCGGCTGTGAAGCAGTGCTGGTATATTAGCATGTTGCAAGCACTGAAAAACACCACTTCCTCTACACTCTCATGAAACCAGCTTCTTTTTCTCTTTTCATTTCAGCACTGACTTGAACACACATTTCTACTATGCCTGGGTTTCCATCAGCAAAACTGTCTACCATGGTCCCATTTCTCAGCTTGTATTTCTGTCGCGGTGCCACGGTGCTGCGGGAAGGGTAGGTTGGCGGCATTGGCGGCGTGTGGGTGGCAGCAGCAAGCCTTGATCAACCAGCTTCCCTGGTCGCTGAGGTATATGATGGTGCCGCCGCCGATGCTGCCACTGCTGCTGCTGCTGCGGCTGCTCAGTGGGAGAGCCGGGAGTTAGGCGATAACATCGGACGAAGATTACTGTGGTGGTGGGGTCTTTCCATCACGTAATAAAAAACTCAGGAACTTTTTGGACTGCTGCAGGCCTTTGGGTTTAACACCTGAAGGGTTTGTCCCTGCGGCGAGGGTAGGGTCCGTCGGAAGAACTGGGGAGCTTGAGGGGGTCGGGTGGTTGGCGGAGTGGTGATTACCCGGCCACCTTGTATGACCCTCCCCCTCCCCCCTGGCCGGTTTATAGGCCTTGTGATGGTTACTCTTGCCTTGCTGGTTCCTGGCGGATGGAAATAGCCCCTGCCCGTATCCATCCTTTATTTCCCTGGTACGCCCACCATCTGAGCCCACGTGGACTGGCCTTATTTTCCATCTTTGCTCAATTGCTGTTTGGAGAGATGCAACATAGGGGTGTACTGAGGGAGCTGGTTTTGCACTGCACATCCATCACCGGGGGGTGGGTGGGTGGGGTTGTTCCAGCTTCTCCATAGCTAGTTGGCCAACCACCGTGAGAGGGTGATTTGGAGGTTTGCCCCCCCCGGTGGTCGGAGTGCCATGACTCCTGCCTACTGTTGTGAGAGGTCAGTGGAGACTTTGCCAGCTACACCTGGCTTCTTCTTTCCCTGGACTTGTTGGATCATCATGGTGGATTCCCAGGCCATAACATACCATCATCCCAGAGCTTTGGATGTATACAAAGACTAAGCTTCTTGTACTGTGAGACTGCCCCCTCTCGCAGACTTGGCCCTCCATGTTATCGAGGGCCTATCTTGATGACGGGTTTTGGAACCCCGAGAGATGGCATTCTTGAAAAAAGAGATTAAGGGGGTTTTTAAATGGGTTTTTAATTAACATTTTAAGGGGTTCAGGGGTGACCAAGAGGGGTTTCGGGGGTAGCCCACCAAGGTTGAGGCCAGGTCTGACAGGGGATTGCGGCAATGGGGGTGCAGGGTTGAACACCAGGGAAGGGGCTAGAGCTCGATCTAATGAGGGCTGTTTGATTTGTACTGTGGGTGGGAGGGGCAGGCATGGTGGAAGCAGGGGGCCATATCATGTTATGGGAGTGCGCACTTGCTATCTTCGAGCGATTGCGCACTCCGGCCCCCAACGTTTTTTTCGTTCCCCAGGTAGCACAGATCCTCAGGGCCTGAGCTATCGGCTGATGTTGTGCAACGCCAGGTCCATGATAAATAAGGCCCCCCTCATTTATGACCTTATTCAGGAGGGGGGAGCAGATGTGGCAGGTATTACGGAGACCTGGTTGGGGCCGGAAGGGGGGGTGCCCCTTGTTGAAATGTGCCCACCAGGTTTCCGGGCATTCCATCAGCCGAGGGCTCATGGTAGGGGCGGGGGGTGGTGGCGGTTATTATTAAAGAATGTCTATGTCCGAGGGAGGCCACTGTACCTCAGATAGCCGGATGTGAGTCCCTCCTTGTAAAGTGGGGTCATGGGGGGCAGATGGGCCTGCTGATTACGTACTTGGCTCCCTGCTTGTGGCAGCAGCCCTGCCTGAGCTACCTGACATTATAGCTCGGGTGGCGGTTGACACCCCCAGGCTTATGGTTATGGGGGATTTCAACCTACCATCTGTCGGCGAAACGTCTATGGTGGCTTGGGAGTTCTTGGCTTCCATGACAGCCTTGGATCTGACCCAGTTAGTTCAAGGCCCTACTCACATGGGGGGACACACTCTGGATTTGATTTTTGTCTCTGGTCAGTGGCAGAGTGATCTGGAAATAGGGGATTTAGTCATCGAGCCCTTGTCATGGTCTGATCACTCCCTCCTTCGCATGGACTTTTGAACTGCTACACCTCACTGCAGGGAGACGGAACCGATTAGGTGGTTCCGTCCCAGGCGCCTGATGGACCCGGATAGGTTCCTGATGGAGCTTTGACCATTCCCTGAGGCTCTGGCTCATGGTGCGACTGAAGAACTGGTGGTTGCCTGGGATAGGGCAGCCCCTGGAGCTTTGGACCGCATCGTGCCTTTGCGGCCTTTAACCTGGTGCCGATCTCAATTGGCTCCCTGGTTTTCCAAGGAGCTGAGAGAGATGAAGCGCCAGAAAAGACGCCTGGAGAGTGATTGGAGGCCCAGTCGCCCCAAATCTGACCGAACACTGGTGAGGTCTCATATTAAGAGCTACCTAGTGGCGAGAAAAGCGGCAAAATTTAACTATTTTTCCACTCTTATCGGGTCTGCAGAGAACCACCCAGCAGCCCTGTTTAGGATGTCCCACTCCCTCCTTCATCTGGGAGTGAGGGAAGACCCCTTGCAGGGCAGGGCTGAGGATTTTGTGCAATTCCTGAATGACAAAGTCACTCAGATTCGGGAAGGTCTGGACTCTAATTTGGTAGATCCAGATGGGATGTCGAAGGGGGGTCTTGAGAATGTTATCTGGGAGAGGTTTGACCTTGTGACGCCCGAGGATGTAGACAGGATTCTGGGGAGGCTTAGCGCTGCCACATGTTTATTGGATCCGTGTCCCTCCTGGTTGGTGCTGGCCTCCCGGGAGGTTACACGCAGCTGGCTCCAGGGGATTATTAACGCTTTCTTGAGTGAGGGTTACTTCCCCCCCTCCTTGAAAGAGGCGGTGGTGAGGCCCCTCCTCAAGAAGCCCTCCTTGGACCTGGCTGTATTAACGAATTATCGCCCAGTCTCCAACCTTCACTTCGTGGTGAAGGTTGTTGAGAGTGTGGTGGCACGACAACTTCCCCAGTACCTGGATGAAGCCGATTATCTAGATCCATTCCAGTCGGGCTTCAGACCGGGGCACAGCACGGAAACGGCATTGATCGCATTGGTTGATGACCTCTGGAGGGCTCGGGACAGGGGTTGCTCCTCTGTCCTGGTCCTATTAGCTCTCTCAGCGGTTTTGATACCATCGATCATGGTATCATGCTGCGAGGATTGGAAGGGTTGGGAGTGAGGGGCACCGTGTTGCGGTGGTTCTCCTCCTTCCTCTCCAACCATGTGCAGTTTGTGTTGACAGGGGGGCAGAGGTCTACCTCGAGGTGCCTTGTATGTGGGGTGCCGCAAGGGTCAATTCTCTCGCCCCTTCTGTTCAACATTTATGTGAAGCCGCTGGGCGAGATCATCCGTGGTTTCGGAGTGAAGTTCCACCAGTACGCTGATGATACTCAGCTGTACATCTCCACCCCGGACCACCCCAATGATGCCCTTGACATGATGTCCCAGTGCCTGGAGGCCGTGTGGATCTGGATGGAGAGAAACAAGCTCAAACTCAACCCCTCCAAGACCGAGTGGCTGTAGTTTCCGGCATCCTGGTATAGTCAGCTGGTTCCATCGCTGACTATTGGGGGCAAGGCCTTGGCCCCCTCAGAGTGGGCTTGCAACTTGGGTGTTCTCCTGGATGCACGGCTGTCTTTGGAAGATCACATGATGGCTGTGGCCAGGGGAGATTTCTATCGGGTTCGCCTGATGCACCAGTTGTGTCCCTTTCTGGACTGGGATGCCCTGCGCATGGTCACTCATGCCCTCGTCCTGTCTGGACTACTGCAACGCTCTCTACATGGAGCTCCCCTTGAAGAGCACTCGGAGGCTCCAAGTGGTCCAGAATGCAGCTGTGTGGGTGGTTATGGGTGCGACTCGGTGCACCCATGTAACACCCCTCCTGTGCGAGCTGCACTGGCTCCCGGTGGGCTTCTGGGTGCGATTCAAGGTGTTGGTTACCACCTTTAAAGCGCTCCATGGCTTAGGACCGGGGTATATACGAGACCGCCTTCTGCCATCAACAATCTCCCACCGGCCAACATGCTCCCACAGAGAGGGACTCCTCAGGGTGCCGTCGGCCAATGTCGACTGGTGACACCCAGGAGGAGAGCCTTCTCTGTGGGGGCACCAGCCCTCTGGAATGAGCTGCCCCTAGAGCTTCGTCTTAGCCCCGACCTGCGTACTTTTTGCCACGCCCTTAAGACGCTTCTGTTCCAGCAAGCCGGACTGGCCTAGTACGAATTTTAAAATGGGTGTATGTGTGTTTTAATTCGCAGGCCAAATTTTTATATTCGATTTTAATTGGTTTTAAATTTTATAAATCTATGTGTTTTAATATGGCTGTACACTGCCCTGAGTCGTTTGGGAGAAGGGTGGTATAGAAATCTAATAAACTTGAAACTTGAAACTTGTCACCCTTCCCAACCCAAGGAGAAGCCTATATAATCATGCATGGTCATCTTTGTGAGATATATAAATTTCTATGTTGGTACAAGATACTTTTTTATTTCTCTTTTTATTAATGAAGAAATATTAATATTTATATTAGTACTGGAAGCTCTGGGCAAGATAGGCATCAGGTAAGTGATTTGGAGTCTCCAAATGATGAAACAAAATGAGAGAAATATGGAGTGGTTTCTTAGCATCTTCAATATGTTTTGTATCTGCTGATGTGGCTCATTCCCTAATCCAGAATGCACTATAACAGCTACTAAGTTTATTTTTCTGACCATTGAAAAAGAGGCATCAAGTGGGAGGGAAAAACAGCAACAAAGCAATTCAATGAACATTTTTGAGAAACTTTCCTATATCTTTATGATGTATCCAAGACTCAGAAGCAGGAAAGAAAATATGTATTACTTGCAATGCTTATATTCATTAGGACCATGCCAAAAATTCAGCTGAGACCAAAAGTCTCTTCAGCATTCTCTTTCATCCACAAATTACTTTAGGTTTTCTATGCCTGATGCCTGTCAGGTCCATCTCAGATCCATCATGTCTCTTTACTCCTCTTGTTGAAGGCAGATTGTAGGATTTTGTATTTTCTGTTCACAATGATATGCTTTGAACCAGATTTCACCCGCAACCTTCAAGGAACTGGGGGAAAAAAACAAAACGGAAAGTAAGTCCTGTTTCATTGCTATGAGAATTAAAACCTATTCAGAAAAATCATGCCTCTGATTCAAGCAGAGGGTTGAATTCAGAAAAAGTGCAGTACATTGAAGACAGAGTGAGCAGCACAAAAATCTCTCAGTGATTGTTGTTTCTCCTTTTAGGTATTTGACATGTCTTGATAGTTTATTTATTTTATTTATTTATTTGTTTTGTCAAGCATGTATAAGATAATAGATATAAGTATATACAAGATTATGAATACATGAAATGGATATGAATAAATGGGGTTGTTAGGACAGGGATGGAAGGCACGTTGGTGCACTTATGCATGCCCCTTACAGACCTCTTAGGAATGGGGTGAGGTCAACAGTAGACAGTCTAAGATTAAAGTTGTGGGACTTTGGGAAATCTCTAGCTTGCATTGATGTTTTATGGACTTATGTTATTATTATAAAGTAGCACCTTATCCAATCACCCAAATTGCAAGGACATGGTGGTAGGGAGAGGACAGAGTCTGCCTACATGTCTGCCTACCTGGACATGTAATTTTCATGCTAGCAATATTGAAATAGTTTCCTATTGCCTATTTCTAGAGGGCTTTTTGCAACTTTAGTGTATAACTTACATCCTTTTCTTGATGGCTCCTATCAAAATATTACCAACTTAAATGCTGCTTGTATTGTTGAGATCTACCATGTATGAAAGGCTCTTTGATGTTAACTGATAACTAATTGTTTAATAATAACTAATTTTATAAAAGAAGCATGTGATAGAATACATGCTTAATGATTAGCATTTCTCCCTTTCTGATACTAGGCTTGTTTTTCTTAAAGGATTTACATCAGTGGTGGGATTCAAATTTTTTTACTACCAGTTCTGTGGGCTTGGCTTGGTGGGCATGGCATGACTTGGTGGGTGTAACTTGTTGGGCTTGGCAGGGGAAGGATACTATAAAATCTCCATTTCCTCCCCCCTCCAGGGGAAGGATACTGTAAAATCTCCATTCCCTCCCCACTCCAGGGGAAGGATACTGTAAAATCTCCATTCCCTCCCCACTCCAGGTGAAGGTTACTGCAAAATCCCCATTTCCTTCCGATCAGCTGGGACTCAGGGAGCAGAGAATAGATGGGGGTGGGGCCAGTCAGAGGTGGTATTTACCAATTCTCTGAACTATTCAAAATTTCTGCTACCGGTTCTCCAGAACTGGTCAGAACCTGCTGAATACCACCTCTGATTTACATCCAAAATCTTGGTCCTCATTAACAGTTTCATACTTTACATACCAGATCGTTTCTGAGGACTTAGTGTTCACTTGACATCTTCACACTCAGGAATATGTTTATATAATTGCATGTTCTCCTTTCCCCTACTCTTGAGAGCAAAACCATGCAGATCCTTCATTTGATTTGCTGTTTGGCTAACCTTTATATATTGAATATTTCCTAGATCCTCAATTCCTCTTCTGACCTGATAGTCCGAAGTTTGCAGTCTGATACTTACTGCACAATGTCAGCAAAGCCAGTGAACATGGGTTTTGATTGATATTCAATACCATGTTTGGCACACATGGATTTCACCAAAGGAGCCACCTTCCAAAAGTTGTGCCGAGGCATCGTAGGGAAGAGACTATAGGCAGAAAGGAAGGCAAAGAAATTGTGATCCTTTATTATCTTTTTGTCTTATTCGAACTATGAAGCAGTTTCTTACTGATAGCTTAAAATCTGTCTTATTGCCTTAAATCAGTACTCACTGGTGCTCAATTTGAAAATTCAGGTGCCCCGTTACCCAGTCATTGAAAAAAGATTGATTCACATTGCATGTTGTCTGAAGCTGGGAGAAGAGAGAAAGACAAGTTTTAATCCAGACATACTGTGAACAAAGGGAGAACAAGCAAATGACCATGATTTATATTTATATTTGTCCATGATTTATATTTACATTCATGTTGGTTTGTATGTATTGGTATATAACTAGTATTTCTAGACAAATATATTGAATTTTGGAAATCTTAAATTACCGTATTTTTTGGAGTATAAGACGCACCGTTTTACCCTCCAAAAGGGGGTGAAAATTTAGGTGCATCTTATACACCGAATGTAGCCCTGCCCACCCACTGGCCCCCACCCTTTGGCCTGTGCCTCGCGGCAGTTATCTTCTTGCAAACAAACAGCAAGAAAAAACAGCCCCTTTCAGCTTCAGCATAGGTTAATTAGCACAAGTTGAGCAGATTTTTTTCCCTAGCTATGCTGAAAAAACGAAACTGAAAGTAAAGCAGGCTCTTTGCTACAACGTGACAAAATGAGGCAGAGAGAGATTTCTTTTTCTTTTTTCTCACCAAAAAAGGTAGGTACAAACAATGGGAAATTTAGAGCAAAAGAGGAGAGTTCAAGATTTTAAAACACAAAGGAAAAAAAGCTCTATTTAACTAGGGAATTGTAATAATTGAGATACTATTAATTGTATATTGTGTTGAAAGCAGAAATGGTTAAATTGTGGGTTGGAGGAATATATGAGGAAAATTATTTGGTTTATTATTATTGGTAAATATAATTAATTGATTTGTAAGAAATTTGATTGCATGGAAATAATTGGAATATTCATGTTCATATTGATTAATATACAAAAAACATAATTATAACTAATTGATTTATATAAAAATGTTGAATTTGTATTAAACAATTGTAATATTAAATAATTAACCAATGAGAGGATGGATATAAAAATAGATGACAATAGGAAGGGGTATAATATAGAATAGAAGGGAAAAATTGAATTTGATTAAGATTAGAGATGAGAATGAAGGATAATATTGTTTTTTTTAAAAAAAATAGATGAGGAGTAAATATGGCAAAAAGGAAATATAGAAATTGTAAATTTAATTGAAATGACTAAACACTGTTTAAATTTGTGAACCAGCCAAACACTCTGTTCAAAGAAAATACATTGTATGTTTGTATGTGTGTTTGTCTAAAAAATAATAAAAAAAACAAACCAAAAAAGGTAGGTGCATCTAATATGGTATATTACCCTAATAGTAGAGTTTAAATACTCATTTGTATCAAATCTGATAGTCACCAGTGTACAGTTTTGAAAACACAGAATTTGTTAAAATATTCATGAACTGGCAGAGACATGGTAACAAGGTCAGCCAATGAATAGGCATAGCAACTAAATCAGCCAATTGGGAGCTGAGACAGACTGGAGCCAGGGTGTGTCTTAGTCTGCAGCTTCTGAGTCTGTGCAGAGAATTGAAACTGAAAATAAGCAGTCTGTGCATGCTTGTCTGCTCTGCTGAATGAAAATGAAACTCTGCTAAATGAAACTAACTGTTCTCTCCTGCCTTGTGTTCTGCCTCTAACTTCTACCACGTTGGAAGAATCAACTATTGGTATTGTAAATACTTCATCTGTTATTATGTATATAAAGAAGTTAATGAATCCAGCTGAATCAGTTATCTGTGTGTGCTTTTTGGATTTGATTTCTACTGCAAACTCTGACAGTTTAAGGGCCTAGAGCACACAGAAAGACTGAATTGCAATTAAGCTGAAAGATTGCCAGTGTGAGAAACCAGGCAGAGAAGAAACCTGCTTGCAGGATGGCTGTTGAAATTAAGGAAAGCTCTCTGCCTCAGAAGGGGCAGAAGAACTATATTATTTGGGGTGCAAAGATGGAATGTTTCCTGAAGGCTAAGGAGCTCTGGGATAAATCCACCCCAGGCTTTTGCACAGGAAGCTTGGCCATGCCAGCTTCAGAGTTTTGCAACAGTTTGCAGAAGGGTTGAACTTAAAGGGACGTAAGGTATACTTGGACTGTGCAGTATGCAAATCATCAAAGTCCAAGACGTTCCCAGTAAGCAAGTGTAGCACAAGGCAGACAACAAGAGCTCTAGAACTGGTACATGCAGATTTGGTTGGGCCACTACAAGCCAGTGTGAGAGGAGCAAAGTATGTGCTGGTCATTGTAGATGACTATATGGGTTCTGCTATTTACTAAAGAGTAAAATAGAGATGCTACAGAAATTTAAGTAATGGATAAGCTTTGTGGAAGGAAAATATAAACAACAGGTATGTCAGCTGCAGACTGACAGAGGTTCAGAAGTTTGTCAACAAGTTTTCAACAGTGGTTGGGACAATTAGGAATAAAACAGAGATACACTGATCCATATACAGCAGCTGAGAATGGTGTAGTTGAGAAACAGAATGGAGTCTTACAAATCATGAAGGACTCGCTGCTGGAGGACTCTGGTCAGAGCCGATCATATTGGGATGAAGCCATGTTGACTGCTAATTATTTAATCAATAGGCTGTAGAGTTCATCAATTAATGATACTCCATATGCAGTGCTATATGGGAAGAAAACATATCTTGCACATTTAAGGGTTTTTGGAAGCAATGCATGAGTGCATATTCCAAAAGCAGTTAGAAGAAAGAGACAACCAAAGGCTAGAAAGCTCAGGTTAGTGGTCTATGGGCCAGGCTCAAAAAGCTATCATTTTAGCGATGGAAGCAAAAGAATAGTAATTTCCTGGTCTGCTAGTTTTGCAGAGCAAAATTGGAACAGAATTGATGCAAACTTTTAGAATGATTCACTTAGTGATGGTGATTCACTTAGTGATGGTAACTCACTTAGTGACTGTAACTCACTGAGTGACGGTGTCAGCGTTCAGGGAGGAGAAACTGAAGAGGCTGGAAAAGATATGAAGCAAGAAAGGGTTGAAACACAGCAGCAGTCAATGCCACGCAGGTCAGAGCGATAGAACAAGAGGATTCCACCTGACAGGTATTCTGCTAGTAAAGTAAAAGTGTATAATGTATGGTATGAGCCAAGAAACTATAAGAAAGTACTGGCATTACCTAAAATAGAACAAGTAAAGTGGAAAGAAGCCATGGACAAGGAAATGAAATCCATGGATGAACATAAAATGTTCACATCTATGACTTTGCCACAGGGTAGCAAAGCTGTAGGATGCAAGTGGGTGTACAAGAAAAAAACTGCACAATAATGAGATACAATATAAATCAAGGTTTATACCTTAGTGGCACAAAGTTTTTCACAGTTGAAAAATGTGCACTATGATGAGGTATTCGTGCCAACTGTAGGGTGAAAGCATAAGACTCGCACTAGCATTGGCAGTGGCATATGGCCATAAAATTTGGCATTTTGACATAACCACTGCATTCCTCAATGCAGAGTTAGAGGAAGAAATTTACATGGTTCAAGCACCAGGGTATGAAAGTAAAAAGCCTAACACCATGTACAAGTTGAACAAGGCTATTTATGAGCTGAAGCAGTCAGCCAAGAATTGGAATATATTTTTAGATAATGCATTGAAGGTCTTGGGTTCAAGAGTTGCAAGGCTGATGGTTGCATATACACTGGAAAGTTACAAGGTAGGGATTGTTAATTATCAGCATTTGTGGATGATCTTTGTTTCATTACAAAGGATGTATCACAGTAAAAGGGTTCTCAGGTATTTGAAGGGAACTGTGATTGTGGGTCTTCAAATACAGGTATCTGAAGAATATTAAATTAATATTAATTGAATTTATGTCTCTTCCAGTCATGAAGGTAGGAGTGTTAGAATATTCATGAACTGGCAGAGACATGGTAACAAGTACAGCCAATGAATAGGCATGGCAACTAAGTCAGCCAATTGGGAACGGAGATAGACCGGAGCCAGGGCGTATCTTAGTCTGCAACTTCTGAGTCTGTGCAGAGAACTGAAACTGAAACTAAGGAGTCTGTGCATGCTTGTCTGCTCTGCTGAAATGAAACTAATTGTTCTCTCCTGCCTTGTATCCTGCCTCTAACTTCTACCACGTTGGAAGAATCAACTATTGGTATTGTAAATACTTCATCTGTTATTATGTACTGTATATAAAGAAGTTAATGGATCCAGCTGAATCAGTTATCTGTGTGTGCTTTCTGGATTTGATTTCTATTGCAAACTCTGACAGAATTAAAATGTAATTCTAGTAATATGTTTATTTATTATTAGTTTGATTTATATGCTGCTCTTCTCTGGAGACTCAGGGCGGCTTACAATACTTTTAAGCAATAGCCTTCGTACTTTTGTATATACCTGCTTAGTAGGGCTTTTGGCCCCCCCTAAGCGGTGTTCTATTTTATACAAAGTCAGCTTATTGCCCCCACAAAACGGGTCCTCATTTTACCTACCTCGGAAGGATGGAAGGCTGAGTCTATTTTTCATTTTGTGAAACATTTCTTTTCAACAGTTACTTTCAAATCTTCCCCTTACTTATTCCAGACTGAACCAAGTTGTCTGGTATGATTTGAACTCACAGGCCTCCTTTTCTAAAAAGAATGTCCTGATCTGGATGAAAACCTCATGCTGGGAATGGAAAACAGAGAACTGATTCCTGCACAGGCTGTTTTCTCTTTTGGTTAGTGCTATTATCTTAAAATGAGGCCAAAGGATAGTTGTTCCGCTCATCTCATTTCCATTTTTATACAGTTCAAACAAAAACGAGGGCAATCATACTCTGTAAGAAAAGGCATGGTATTTCTAAACACAATTCAAACTTTACCATTCCATAGAAAAAGCACTATCAAAAAATAATAGATGAAAATAACTTCTGAAAATGAATTTAGCTTTCACACGTGCAAATTATAGTTTGATACTGTGGTAATTGGATTATTATGGTTCTGTGAGTTATTGTGCATGTAATAAAATTATACAGACAGGCTAGAGTTTAATCATATACAGTACAGCCATCTATTTTATCTTGGAGACTTCTCTTACCTGTGTAGAGAACCAATCCATGTTTTTATCATGATCAATGTACATAGGAAGATGACTCGTCTGTGATATCCATGTAAATAAGATACTGTCAAGAAGACTGAGAGACAGAAATGAGGCAAAGTGAGGAAGTGAAACTATATCTACACAAACCAGCCATTAAATAGAACAATGGGACAATTATTGGTTTATTTGCTAGGCTTAGAATGCAAGTCATTCACTAGACCACTAGACTGGTACTGGTCTGTCTCACGTTGGGAACCAGACCATGGAAGCGGCAGGTGAGCGTATGATGCTTCATTTGCACATGTGCAGGACTAGGTTGAACATGTGAATCCCCTCTCCCTCTGCCACCACCACCACACACACTACTGCCCCACACCACCATCAGTCTGCACAGCCAAAAAGGTTGGGGACTGCTGCACTAGACCTAATGATGCCTTTCTCTGGAAACCAATACTTGTCCAACTGAAACACCCCCCCCCCCAACAATGAGTCAGATCCAAGATCAGGAGCCCCAGTTTTTCTGAGTCAGTGGACATACTTGGAAGGTTGATCAGATTCCATGGAAACTTATACAGAATGGAAACTACAGATTGGCTTGGCTATATCCCAAGATGTATAATGACAAATGGGTGACCCTCTTAGAGCAAGACAAATTGGTGAGGTTGTTCTTGCTACTCCCTCTAGCCCCTCATGATGCCCCTTAGCATTTCTAAATGACAGCATAAACTCAAAGAATAAAAAGGAATAGAGAGAAGGAGTAAAAAGTTAAAGGAAAAAGAAAGAAAAGTAAGAATATAATAAAGAGAAAAGAAGCATATAAAGAGGTTACTTCCAACCTTCATCACAATAAGTATAAACAAATTTAGTAACTCTTCACACTCTATAAAGTTACAAACATTTATCTCTTCATCCCATATCTTATTTATAAACAAACTCTTAAAACATTATTCTTTTTGTCTTGTGTCAGCAGAAAGTCAAAAAAGAGTCAGAAATAATAACTTATCTTATTTTAACATTGATCAAATAAGCCAACTTTATATTCAATCTTTTTACTTAATCTTTAGCTCATTCAAATATTGTCAGAAGATTTTATTTCTCTTCATTTCTTTTTGTCCTATCACACAAAGTTCCTCAAGACTTTAACAAGACTTTTGTTAAATTCCAGTTGAAAAAAAATTATCCACATCACTTTCTTGGTTTGTCATTTGTATTTCATTTTTAAAATTTAAAACCTCAGTCAGTTTCTTTTAAAGTTCCAGTGAAACATCCTTTTCTAACTCATTATTTTGGTCTATCAGGTGTAAATCCAATTTCAATACCATCTCCATTTTGTCAAAATTTGTTTTAAAAATGACATTTCTTCATGCTTTGGACATAGTTTATCCATTAAAGCATCATCATTACTGACATTGATATTATGGCTACTATTTTCTAATTCTGTTCTTTAAAAGTCTCCTTCAGTGTTTTTATTTTCATAACATTTTGTACTATCCTGCAGTCCTATATATCTTTCCTCTACTTAATATGTTTAGTCCCCTCTTGTATCCAGTTTTTGAAATCATGAAATTACTCATTTATATTATGTTTTGTAAAAACCAAAACAGGATCTATTTTCCACATGAAGATGCTTGTAGTTTATAATTAATTCTAAAATCTTATTATAAAAGTTTTAACATTTTAGGTCCAATTTTATCTGGACCTTTAGCCCATTAGTTACTTTCTAAGATCAAATCATATTGAACTTTTTGGTGATTATTTCAGATTCTTTAAATTCTAAGCTTATAATTAAATCTTTCTTTTGTTCAGGATGAAAGGCAAATTTATCCAGCATTTTCAAACTTGTCATTCTAATAGCTTAGAAGTAGTTAATCAGCAATTTCTGAAAGTGATTAGAAAGTGCTGTTTGTAAACTTAGTATCCTTTGAAAAACTCTCCCGCTATTGGGAAAAAGTTGGCTAGTCCCTATTGTCTTCCTGTGCTCAAACCTGTAGAAAACCACTGTCCTGTGAGGCAGGCAATTCAATATGGCACTTAGAACTGAGGACTGCTTCATCTCATGGAGCTACATCAAAGCAGGTGGTTGAATCACATATGCAGATTATAAAATGATGTATGATGCAGTCAATAAGTGATGAATGCATGTGCACCAGTCCTCAACAGAAAGAAAATGAGTTTGGGTGTCCTAAAAATGAGGGGGACTTTTGGGGGTAAGTTCAGAACAGCCTTCCACAGTCTGGGCACTCAACTCAACACCCAGAATTCCCCAGCCAGCAAAGTTATTACTGCCAATGGTAGAGTTGAAGCCCATACATATGGAAGTGGACAAGTTTGGGGCAGAATAATCTAGAGAATAGTCAGAGTCTGTGAAGGACTAGTGAAACACAAAGAAAACAGTACATAAGATGAACAGTACATCACAAGAATGTGGTATCCCAAAACACCCTTGAATCCCAATATGGGGTTGAAGGTAATAAAGAATCGGATATAAAATGCCAGATTCCATGCCATTTCCTGTAGAAAAAAAGAAAAGGAATGGGCATTAGAATAGCATATTTTCTTGCTCCAAGTAGACACCCTACATGGAATCTTACTGAGATCCAGATGTATATTGTCTGGAAACTCTGCTCTGTTTACTGCCCATTTTGACAAAACCATTTCTACCCTGGCTTTTTTTTGGACAGATTTAATGTATTGAAAAGACCCATAGAAAAATTCACTAGACAAGATTAAGTATGCTTGTTTTTTTTAAAAAAAGTACAATATTTTGAGCTCACATCATTCTAGAAAGTGATGGAGAAGGAGAGAAGTTTCTTTGCATATTGCTATAAGGGTTTTTAAAAATTAATCAGGGAAGACAAGCTTTTTATATAGTGATTATCAATACAAGAGACCATGTGTGGTTGTAAGCAGCAATGTTGCATGTATATAGATCTGTTTGAGCTCATTTAAAAACATTATTTTCAGCTTGCAATAGTGGTAAATATTTGTAGCTCAGGGTGGAGGTTCATTCTCCGAGCTTGTGGGTTGGTTTCTGAACATTTTGTTACCAGGCTAGGTAACATCTTGAGTGGAGTTTAGGGGATATTAAGGTTGGTATTCTTCTACTTATAAGGGTTTCATGTGGTCAGTAGATCTTGTGATACACAAAAGGGGTGTCAAAAATGACAGCCAGAATTCTTCAACTTCTAGGAATAGTAATAGCCTGCAAACCCACAGCCACACTCCACCAGGAATTATCCAGAACCAAAGACAAGATACAGTAGGATGAAACTACAAAATCAACTGTAAAAATTGCAACCAATTCTATGTGGGACAAACATTACATCAATTGAAAACCAGGATCCATGAACACCAGCTGGTAGTCGATCATCACGATCCTAAATCCCTAATCTCTGCCCACACTGACACCAACAGCACCAATTCAATTGGAGCAATGCAAGAATCATTGACCATACTACCATCTTCACACTTGAGTTTATCAAAGCCTGGAACTCCATAAGCAATTCCATCAACAGACACATTGATCTACAACCAGCCTATGAACCCCTGAGAACTCAAATCAAAAGCACAATTAACCAGTGACAGCACTGACTTTCAACCAGCCCGTGCAACCCCCCCACAACCAGTACTTCACCTCCCAATGACCTCACCTGATGTGACCCACTCATCACAAGACCCTGACCTGATGTGACCCTGACCTGATGTGATCTCACCATCACGAGATCTTCTGACCACACAAAACCCTTATAAGCAGAACACCGACAATGACATCCCCTAAACTCTGCTGAAGATTATCTAGCCTGATAACAAAATGTTTGGAAACCAACCCACAACTTTGGAGAATGAATCTCCACCCTCATTATTTTATGACATGTTTATGTGATATCAGGTGAGAATATAGAGATTTTGTTAGAGATTTTGAAATTTTATCCCACAAAATTTCAGCCATTTTTAATTAGGGTGCTTGTCTATAGTGCATGGCAGATTATCACTTTAAATAAGGCTGGAAAAGTCTCTTCTGCCATCTTCTTTATTAGAAAAAAATAAGTCCAACCCAGTGGTGGGATTCAGCCAGTTTGCACCCCTTTGGGAGAACCGATTGTTAACTTTCTGAGCAGTTTGGCAAACTGGTTATTGGAAGAAATCATTAGGGCAGAGAACTGGTTGTTAAATTACTTGAATCCCACCACTGGTCCAACCCCATTTCTAATCCCCCTAGTTCTTTTTTAAAAAAGAAATATGAACCATACCTTTATATTTGTATTCCAGCCACCATAAATCATTTCTGAATCAAACCCCTCAAAATCACTGCTTAAGAAAGTTGGATTGTAATTCTTATACATTCTTAGTTCAACCGATGTCATTGTCCAACTTTATGCCTCCAACTTTCCCCATCATGCATTCTACATGTTTGTTTCCTTAGACAAAAATCTAATGCTTTCTTCATAAAAGGCCTTTTAATAGCCAACAATAGTTCATCTGGGAAGCAATTTAGAATTGGGTGGCATTGACTTTTCTATTAACAATATCCCCATGCCAACTTTATATGCTCCTAAAATTGTTTAGCCCAGAGTTGGCAAACCTTTTCGGCACTGAGTGCTGAAACGGGAGCGCACGCCAGAAACCGGAAAAGCAGATGATATTCTGGTTTCCAGCACGTGCATTTGCACCGGCCACCTGGTCTTCCGGTTTCTGGCGTGCATGTGCACGCAAAGACCAGCTGTCCAGTGTGCATGCACTGGCTCTGCCTTACTTTCGGGCGCCTCCCTGCCCTCCCACTTGCCCACCCCCTGGTCCCCATCAGGGTGGCAGGACATCCCCACCGACGACCCGGTTCCGCAGCCCTGGACAGGGAGAGAAAGTTGGGCAAGGAATGCTTCCTCCCTCCACTGGAAAGCTGGAGCCCCTTCCTGGCCTTGGAGGTAAGGGGCGTTCGCGTTCCCAGGGCTCGACTTGGGGGGTCCAGCAGGTGGGAGAGCTTTTCCCCAACTCTGGCCAGGATGAAGTGCCCTCCTCCCAGCCTGCCACCAAGAACAAGCCAGCACAGCCCCCCTCTTATCCCTCACTGGCGCCTTCCCATCTTCCCAGCAGGCTCGACATGCCTCTTACCCCTCAGAGGCATCTCCATGCTGTGCTCTCCTCTGGTCCTGCTGAGGCAGCTTGCCTCCCTGATGGCAGCTCCTCCTCCTTTTCCTCCTGGCTGCTCCAGCATCCCAGCTGGAAGTGGCAGTGCGAGAACTGCCACCGCCCCCTCATCCCTTGCAGGAGCAGGAGCAGAGGATGGGGGCTCTGCCGTCCACCCAGCCAGCAAACGCTGCCCCACTGCCCCGTGCACCTGAGCTGGCCGGGTGCTCCAGACCGTGGACGCGCATCGGTGCAGCAGGCTGGAGGGCTGGGGCCGCACAAGAAGCCTGCTTGGGTGGGGAGGGACAAAAGCCCTGGCCTGCCCATCCTGGCTGGCAGCTCTGCTCCCCTTGCTCTTCTGGGCATGAAGACCAGCTGGCCATTGGGCATACACATGCCGGAAACTGAAAGATTATCTTCCCGGCGCATGCATGCACACCGGACTGCTGCTCTTTTGGTTTCTGGCACTCCCGTGTGCATGAGACCAGTTGGCCAGTGCGCCAGAACCCGAAAGAGCAATGGATAATGGCTCTGCATGCCCAGAGAGATGGCTCTGTTCAGGGGTGAAATGCTCTGAAATCTGCTACCAGTTTGTTTCACGCGCACATGTGTGCCAAACTCGCACTTTGCACACATGCACACCTCAGGCGCTAAGAAGCTTTTTCTGAGTCTGCAAAGGTAAGTAGAAGAGCGGGGTGGGGGACAACTGTGCCCTGCGATTTAGATTCGCTAGAAAGCAGGATTTTCTGCTTTCTAGTGAATATAAATCACGCAGCACAGTTGATTGTCGCACAGCTGATCTTCAGAACTTTTTTTTTACTTTTTAAAGCATTTTTAACTACTGTTTCCGAGAACCGGTAGTAAAAAAATGCTTAAAAAGTAAAAAAAAAAAGTTCTGAAGATCGGCTGTGCGACGCGCGATCATCGGAACATTTTTTTACTTTTTAAAGCTTTTATTTTTTAATACTGGTTCAGGCGAACTGGCCCGAACCGGTAGCATTTCACCACTGCTCTGTGTGCCACTTACGGCACGTGTGCCATAGGTTCACCATCACAGGTCTAGCCTTTTCATGCCCTCTTAAGGAAATAAAATTATAAATCTAGAAACTTATCATGGGGGTGGGTGGGAATCTTACTATTTTAATATTTGGTATGGATTATTTGAATACTTACCCTCCAGAGTTTGCGTTGGACTATAAAGTAGAATGAGAAAACTTGAAAAAGTGGCATTACAAGCAATGGCAATGCTGCAGAAGGAAACAAGATGCATGTAGCCATTAATTGTCCTTTCTAAACACAAAGGAGATATATAGAAACAGGAAGCATCAGTCACAGTCCTCAAATGTTTTGTATTTAACACTTTGGAAACATTATAATTGTATTTGGGAATTTCATCATCAAAAATAAATCAAACCACAAAACATGTACATGGCAGACACTGCCTGAATTGTGCCACTCAAGCTGTTTGTGTCGGCTCTATTAGAATCAGTTGACTAAAATACATTTGAATGAGTTAAAAGAAGTTTTGTTATTCCTGTTGATAAGTGGATAATACTTTCTTAAATTTATTTAGAAGCAAGCCCTGGTTAATCCAGTGAGACCTGCTTTCAAGTGTTTATGTATTCATTTATTAGGGGCACAGCTGCCCATCTTGTAAAATACTACTCTGGGCAACTTACAACAATATAAAATCTAAAACAAGCTACTAGTATATATAAAGAGAGCAAACCGCACTACTTTGTAGCACTGATGATGTTACATAGCTGGGTAATGAAACGTCTGCAAGAAAACTACTGACCTCAGAGAGGTCCAAGGACCGCACAGTCCACCCTGAACTACAAATATTCTCTTATATTGGAATCAGTTGAATAAAAGGTGATTTCTTTTCGGGGGGTGGAGGTGAATAGTCCTGAGGAAAAGAAGCATAGAGGCACAAGAAAAAAAAGTTGCAAGTGCTCTAGTTGTTGACCAAAAACGGAGAAGAAAAAAAAGGAGAGGAAATTCCAGAGAGAGGAATTAAGGCAGAACATTTTATTTGTAAGAAGAAAACATAGTACTATAGAATGTGGTATTGAAATACAGTATAATAATTGCAACCATTACAATAATTGTAATTAATGTAACAATATAGAAATAGCAATAGTATAAAGTATACTATATAAAGTATACTATATAAAATATGCTATATAAAGTAATCTACATAAAGTATACTATACTATACTATATAAAGTATAAAGTATAGTTTATAATATAAAGTATAAAGTAGCAGCAATATAAAACACTCACTTATAAACTTGTAAGTTTCACATTTCACTTTTATATCTCCCTAACCAGGGGTGAAATCCAGCAGGTTCTGGAGAACCGGTAGTGGAAATTTTGAGTAGTTTGGAGAACCGGCAAATATCACCTCTGGCTGGCCCCAGAGTGGGGAGGGAATGGGGATTTTGCAGTATCCTTCCCCTGCCACGTCCACCAAGCCACGCCCACAGAACTGGTAATACGAAAATTTGGATTTCACCACTATCCCTAACCCTTATAGTATTTTTTTTTTTTAAAAAAAACACTTGTTCAGAGTCCAGGTCTTTTACAGTTCTTGAGACTCAGACTTAAGAGTCAATCTAATTGGAGACATTTAAAAAAAATCTTAAAACAGAGGTTCCCTCTGAACTGCTGTAACAGTGGGTGCTGGTGGCCACTAGCTTGGTTGGCTTCAAAAATGGGTTGGACTGATTCATGGAAGTCAATGGCTATTAGCATGGATGGCAGTGTGAATGAAGACCAGTGGGCTGCCTTGGTTTGTTATTGTGAGAATGGACTGCAGGGGTTCAATCCAGCAGGCATCATTTATGCTCTAATGAATAAAGTAGTTTCAAAAAGAAAAACAACTGCTGGTGAAGAGGATGGAGTGTCTTCTCCATTATGTTCTTGTCTCTCTTCCATGGCAATTTTCTTTCACTCTAATTTGTTTATGGATGGTCCTCAGTCATGCCTATAGAGCAGGGGTGTCAAACTCAATTTCATTGAGAGCTACATCAGGGTTGTGTTTGACCTCAAGGGGCCAGTGTGTGTGTGTGGCCGGGGGTGTGGTCAGGGTGGGTGTGGCCAGCTTGACGTCACTGATCAAGACTCCAGTTTTGGCCACAATGGCCTCCTGCAGTTCTTTTTCCAGTGAAAATGGAGCTCAGGGAGGCCACACATGGTTTACCTAGGCTCCGTTTTCACTGGCAGAGGGTTGCAGAAGGCTGCCACAGCCAAAAACAGAGCCTGGGCTCTGTTTTCACTGGCAGAGGCACCGCAGGGCAGTCCTTCGCTGTTTCCAGGGCAGGCCCGCGGGCCAGATCTAAGCACCCTGTGGGCCAGATCCGGCCCCCAGGCCTTGAGTTTGACACTTCTGCTAGAGAGCATCAAATAATTGAGCAATCACAACAGAAAGTGTAGTACCCTCTCTGGCTTGCCATTTCTCTCTTTGCACTTAGGCATAGTTTGTTTTTGAAGATGTGGACTTAGAATCAGGATGCCTAGCTCCACCTTAAATATGTATGTTAAACCCATGTGTGTTCTGAGAAAGGAAAGAATTCCTCCTCATTCTCTGCTGCCTCTGCTCTTGTTCTCCCCTCCTCCTCTTTATCTTATCATTAATAACAAAGGATGTTATTAATCTGCACTGTGCTGGGCATTATATAGAATGCATATGTAATCTGTCCATGAGCTCATGGTGGAAAAGATAAGAATCCAAAGATGATCCAGAGGTTTTTTGTGAAAGTTGTTTTTTTTTTACACAAGAAAAAGTTCATTTTCACTTAGCAGGAGGTAGGGAAAAAAAATCAGATACTCACTGAAGAAAAAATACCTGTGCTGATAGTTATAAGGCATGTATTTCTTTTTCTGCAAACCCAACTGTAAAAGAAAGTAAGTCATGAAAAAAAACAAATAACTTTCACTAGGTAATTATAACTTAAGGCTCCATTTCTATAACATCCTTTTCAGTTGCTCTGTAAAATAAATACTCAACTGTCACAAGAATAGACTGTAATTATGGTAGTTAAAGTAGATTGCAGTCTTTATTTTCAAAGTTTCAGATGCAGAAACACATGGCAGAGTGCTTTTGAACTAAGTCCTGCAATATAAATTTGGAAAGAGCATTCTTAAAGTTAGATTTTTTTTAGCCAGGAGAGGAAGCTGTCCCTTTTGGTAGCAGAAACACTAGATCAGGGTGTCAAACTCAATTTCATTAAGGGCTGCAGCAGCATTGTGGTTGCCCTTGGGGGACTGGGTGGGTGTGGCTGGGGTGGGCATGGCCAGGTGATCACAGTCCAATGGGTGGGCGTGGTGAGGTTGGGCGTGGCCTGTTCAACATCGCTCGCATCGGGGGTGGGGTAGAGTGCCTCTGGGGGATCAGGCAGGGCTGGGGAGTTTCTGTTTTTGTTCTGAACGCTGATCTGAAAGGAGAATGGTCAGGGTTCAGTAAAATCAGTTGTCACCTAAGCAGTTGCTTCTTACCTCCAAAGAAAGAGGTTCCCCTAATGAGAAAAGAACGGGATGAAATGAAATGTCTGGGTCCTTCTGGAAACAGTTGGGTTTAGCATGATGCTGGGAATGGTGCAAAGACCACCAATGAGCTGAAAGTCCCTGTAGAGGAAGAGTGAAAGAAAACATTCAGGCTCTTTTAAAAGATTGTTTGACTATTTACTACCACAGTATTCTGCTTTGAAGAGGTAATATAGAGGAGATTCCATTGAACCTTTGAATCAGATTTTCAAATAAGTTTGAGGTGTTGAATCAATTGACTTTGAATTATCTTGGAGAGGTTTAAAACAGTTTGAAGATTAAGTGCACTTTCTAGCTTTGAAAAATCTCAGGCATTCATTGCATACGTATATGGATAAAACTGGGGGAAATGTGAGTATTATAATGAGCTCTCTGATATTAACATGAGTAGGTGGCAAATGAGTTTTATCACCTTTCAAAAACCCTGCCTGACAAAGCACTGGAAGAGGTGCTGCTCTGCTATTTGTGTATTTAGAGAGATTCACCTGTGGGGAGAAACAGAAAACAAAATAGAGACCTACATTTATTCTGCTCTGTCTCACTTTTAATGAGTCTTGCTTTTTCTTGCCTCCATACCATTTTATTTTTATTTTTCTTTGACTCACCTGTAGTACAGTCCCTGTTAGCTTTGGGTCCAGTATTTTCCTTCCTTTGTCATTGGTATTTAATCAGCCTTATTGATCAGGCAATTTTATCATTGGCATTTAATCAGCTTATCTTCAGGTGTACTAAAAACAGGTGAAGATAATACCTGGCATCCTAATTCTAATCTTATTTCATTGCTAATGTTGATACAAAGATTTTAATTGCAGTGTTAGCAAATAGATTACAAATAGTTATTAAAACAATCAAGCAGGGTTAATAAAAACTAGGCATGCAGCAGGTAATATAGGATTAATTGGAGATGTAACAGACTTAAAATAAAGATTTGTAATCTCATTATTAGATGCTGAAGAGCTTTTGATATAATATAAAAACAATACATGTTTATTGTATTAAATAGATTTTAAAATCCTTTGGAATTCATAAAATGAATTAAGATATAAAGTAAATTTTAATGACATGTTTTCTCCAACTTTTCCACTATTTAGAGAAACTAGACATGGATGTCCACTTTCACCCTTGCTTTTTAATACCTATATTAATTAATGCTTCAATCAATATTTAATAATAAATTTAATGATTAATATTTAATAATTTGGCTAATGCTATTAGACAACATAACCCAGTTGAATACAAATGCCCACATTCTTTTGTTTATTTCTAAACCTCATACTGTTATTTTAGTATTGATGCAAAATAGCAGAATATTCTATTAACTTGTCCAAATCAGAATTGATTCCAATAGGTGAAAATTGAGTTACCCATCCACTAAATATCAATTCCATATTTGCACCAAATCCATTAAATATATATATCAAAAGATATAACATGTAATATAAATAAAATTGTGGGAGGGATGTTTCGTCAGATATCAATAGATGGGGATCATTAAACCGTACCCTTTGGGAAAAAGGTGAATGCTCTCAAAATGTATGTTATTCCCGGATTAATTTATATTTTAAGAGGAATTCCAGTTTAAAAATCTGTAAAATATTTTCAGAATTCCTTCTTTAGAAAATTTCTATGTGGTTTGATTTTGAGAATCTCTTTACACTTTCCAATTAACAAGAGAGGATTCAGTTTTTAGAATCTGGAACTATCATGCTTACCTATTGTCAAGCATTAAATACTGAAAGCTAACAATTGGGGTTAATTTTCCAATTTGGGCAACCTTGGAATATACATATACAGCATCTTTGGTTGGATGGACAGTATTAGGATCTAAATATACACACTCTGGTGCCTCTGGAAACAATTACATTAGTTAGAAACTCATGGAATGGAATGTCTACTTTAAAAAATTGACTGTTTTTCCCCTGTCAAATTGACTTTATGGGAAAAACCATCTTTAAAAATTAGGGGGGAAAATGATGATATGGAAAATTGGATGAAAACTGTCACATATGAAGAATTAGGACCACACATTAAATTCCATTTATTGCTTTATTGCTCCTGCCTATATATAATCTAATCAACTAATGGTCCACATTAAATTGGCACTGGATAAGAGTTAATGGAATTCAAGGATGGCTGGACTTGGACTGCTTGTGGGAACATAACGACTCCAGGATGATTCCTCTCTTGACTCTGTTCCCCCAACTCTGACTCTCCTTCTCATACAGAAACATTCTTCAGTCTTTTTTTTTAAGTGATCACAATAGCACATAACCTGCTTTTTCTAGTTTATTAAATTTGATTAGAGTGTTTTCTGTTTTATTTCAGTATGATTGCTCTATATTGTTGGATAACAGAGAGACTATGCTATTCTTTTTCATTCCTATTATTTCTGCCTTAAAAACAGTAGAAGAGGAATACCTCACATTTTATACCACAATTCTATAGAACCCTTTCAATCTATTCATCTCAAATTTTGCAGTGTTGATGTCCTTATAGAGGTATTTACTATCTCTGTTATTTTCATTTTATTCTGTACCCCAAATAAAACAGCTATAAGCATTTTGATGCTTTCCTATTCAAGTCAAAAACACAACTTTCTTGAATTTATTTGACATGGATCTTGATCTCTGATCTCCTATCACAGGGGTCCCTAAACCCTGGGCTGTGGACCAGTACCGGACTGCGGCCTGTTGGGAACTGGGCCGCATAAGTGGCAGGCAAGAGCGCAAAGCTTCATTTGGGCATGAAGGCGATTAGGTTGGTCATGTGAAACCATCCCCTCCTTCCTCACTGCCGATGCCAGTCCATGGAGCCAGGAAGGTTGGGAACTGCTGTCCTATATGAATCAAATCTTGCCACCTTCAGTTCTTAAATGTGGATTGGTTCTCAATTAATTTGCACATTCATCTTGTTTATTATAAGTGAAATTCCATTCTTGGTCTGCAGTTAGTAATGAGGTAGACAAACAAATAGTTTGATTTAACATGAGAACTTTCTGTTTTTTTGAGTGGGAATGGGAAAGTGAGAATCCCATTTGACACCTTTATAAATAACACAACACATTTGATATTTACTGATGAAACGTTTTCATGTATATTTGCAATATTCCATATTCCTTCCCTTCAATTCTGTGGAACATTCTAAGAATAATATACCTTACTTACCTTTAAATGGCACATCACAAATTCCTGAAAAAGGTGGTTCCATTTTAGATTACTGAAGACTGAAAGATGTCCCAAATCATGTTGTAGCCAGCCTGCTTGAGACTAAAAGAAAAGGGTGATTCACAACAGAAGGACCACCTTTTGTGTCACTCTTACAACTCCTGGATTGGAGCTTTCCCACTAAATCCAATGGTGTTTGTAACAGCTATGAAAGAATTGATAGGATAGCTAAAATAAAAGTTCATTCTAGGATTTTTTATTCAGTCAAAGGGGCAGCCACCCAAAGAAACATTCCAAACAGGATGTGCACAAGAAAGCTTTTCTACAATATAATCATAGGTATAAACTACCTCCCATAAACATATCTGGTATTTTGTGATAGACAGTGGGAAGATATGGCTGCTTTTTAATGCTCTGTTCCTGTTTGAGGTATAAGATGAGATGGACCCAATATCCTTCTTTTCTAAAGAATCATTTGTTGGGCAGGCTCCGCCTCCATGACGGCATGCTGAGGAAATGAAATTCTTTTTCTTCCAATGACAAAAAGCTGATTTTGCACCAGAGCTGGTTATTTCATAGCTTTGCTCCCTGTTTTTTGAAGGTGAGATTAAGAAGGACCCAAGATGAACTTCAGACAATTGTGCATTGATGAAGAAGGAGTCTAGACGCCTGCAATTTTTGGTAAGGAATGATTGGAAGGTCTGGTCTCTTGCCACCTTTTCCCTTCACCTGCTCATATTTCATATCCCAGGGTTTTAATTGCAATTTTTGAAGCTTTACAATCTCTTCATTTATGACTAGTTGCCTTCTGGCCTATTTTATAATCCCTTGCTGGATTTTTACAATTTTTTTCTGTTCTTTCATTGTTTATATCAAATTTTAAACTTTTTTTTAACCATAAAGAAGTTATGGTGGGACTTATATTTACACAGGATAATGGTGCTGGTGCAGTCAGCGGTGAAATTCCCCCAGTTCTATCCATCTTGCCGAACCAGTAGCACCAGTGGCGGGAGGCTCTGCCTGCCCGCCGGGACGTCATTATGTCCCTTTTTTACCATCTGTGCATGCGCAGAAGAGGTGCGCACTCCCACACCTCTTTCCCAAACCGGTAGCAAAGGTAAGTGGATTTCACTACTGGGCGCAATGTTTAGAATGCAGTACTGCAGGTTACTTCTGTTGACTGCCGGCTGCCAGCAGTTCAGCAGTTGAAGTCTCACTGGCTCAAGATTGACTCAGCCTTCCATCCTTCCGAGGTGGGTAAAATGAGGGCCCAGATTGTTGGGGGCAAATTATGCTGATTCTGTAAACTGCTTAGAGAACACTGTAAAGCACTGTGAAGCAGTATGTAAGTCTAAGGTCTATTGCTATTATACTATAAAATTTGTTCCTTCTAGCATTTTTCTTTTTTTAAAAAAAAGGCCTTGATATTTATTTCTTAAATTTCCCTTTCTTTAAGGGGGGGAGGGGGACTCTTTCCCTGTGGGAAGCTGTTATGATTTATTTACTTTTCTTGTCCTGTGTTTCTCATGCCTCTAAAAGGAGACAAAATATTTTGGGAGGCAACTGAAAAAAGAATGCTCTCTAACTTATAGGCTTTATTTGAAAACATAAAAAATATTTGATGTGTCAGTAGCAGTTTTGCAAACTCAAGATATCCAAAGGCAGGAAATAACAACTGGACCCGATTTCCAATTTGAGGAATTGGAATCTGATCTGTTGCTGTCTGTGAAAAAGAAAGTGTTCAGTTTGAAAAATATAGAATTGCCAGAAAAGATTGAAAAGAATACAAATATAATAAATTCTAAGATAATGGATATGATCAAGGTTGGACTGGACTTTCTTGGCAAGAGGAATTTTGTGTTGTCAAGGAGAATTATTCAACAATAGATGTTGCAGAGTTATTTACAACAGAGAGTTATGAACTTTGGAAATGAGATGTAATTGTTGGGAAAATTCCCAATTAAAAACCAAAGGAAAGGTTTCACTATTAAGAACCAAACAAAGGTATTTGATCCTGGACTCAGAGATAATGATTGTGGCGATTTGTGGTAAATAAGAAACCATGTAGACCAGGGGTGTCAAACTCGATTTCATTGAGGGCCGCATCAGGGATGTGTTTGACCTTGGAGGGCTGGGGTGGTGGTGGCCGGAGTTGGCTGTGGTCATGGTGGGCATGGCTGGGTGGGCGTGGCCATGGTGAGTGTTTGACACAGGCTCAAAATGCATTTTTCTCCCTTCCCTTTTTTCTTTCCACAGTTCTTTACTATAACCATTTTCCTATCTCTTCTACCAGATATTACTGGCAAACATTTATTACTTATTCTTCATATTCCATGAAACTTTTTATTTCTAAATTTATACCCCATTGTTTAATAGTAAATTGCTTTTCCAGGCAGAAACACTGTTTATATTATTGTATTTTTATTATTCAACTAATAATAAAAATACAACAGCATAAAAACATGATAATACAAGATCTAACAGCAGAGGTAAATTTCCAGAGTAGTAAATAGAAATGAATGTCAAATATAGATATAGAATAGAATACAGAATATAGAATATACAAAAAATAAAGGGAACACAAGCAGAAGACATCTGAGATCTGAATGAATGAAATAGCCTTATTAAATACTTTGTTCGTTACATACAGTAGTTTTGTGTTCCCTTTAGTTGTTTGAGCAGTGTGTAAACTACTGTATGTAACGAACAAAGTATTTAATAAGGCTATTTCATTCATTCAGATCTCAGATGTCTTCTGCTTGTGTTCCCTTTATTTTTTTGAGCAGTATAGAATACAGAATAGATAGTTGATTGTAGATTAAATGGACCTACAGTATGTAAAATCTGACATTAAACTGTAGAATTAATATAGAATACTTATTTATTTATTTATTTGTCAACAAATACAAGGAAACAGTATCAGTATAGACATAAATATGGACACATGAAAAATGGCACAAATAAATGGATATAAATAAGCAAAACATAGCCATAAACACATAAAATGAGTACATATAAATGGGGACAGTAGGACAGGGATGGATGTTGCATGTTTTCTATCCAGATCAGGCACTTACTTGAGGCTTGTAATCCAGTCCAAGCCAGTCCTCCTGCAGCACCCCCACCGCCCTGTGGCCCATTTTCGGCCTCCATGGCCTCCTGCAGCACTCTTCCTGGCCAAAAATGGGCCATGGGGGCTGTGCTTGGCCCCCTCGCAGCCCATTTTGGCCAGCAGAGGCACCACGGGGTGGTCCTTTGATATTTCCAAATCGGCCCCATGGGCCAGATCTAAGCATCCCGCAGGCTAAATCCATCCTGCAGCAATGGTGGGTTGCCCCCGGTTTGCACTGGTTCTATAGAACCAGTAGTAAAACCAGCAAGAGGCTCCGCCCACCAACCCTGGTGTCATCAAGATGCTTCTGTGCAAAAGAGTGCACACGTGAGCGAAGCAAGTGTGCGCACGTGGCCCCGTTGTGAACCGGTAGTAAAAGTAAGTAGAACCCATCCCTGTCTTGCGGGCCTTGAGTTTGACACCCTTGGTGTAGATTTTCTATGAGTAAATTACAATAACAGATTGTTAACAGAGTGCTTTGAACTTTAACTTTTCTATTCTTTAACCTGCTAACTATTTTTCTTTCATATATGTAAGGTATGACAGGTCAATTGGACTGCAAATAGATGTAGAAGCTTATAAATTTTGGACCTGCTTTGTAAGGAGGGGAAACTATTATTGTTGGAATAGTTTTGTCAATGTTTAACTAGGGAGAATAATATGTATTTTTATCCTCTTTTAAATTCACATTTGTTTAATGTTTATGTTTAATTTTGTTTTGTCACTGTTTAATTTTCTTTTCTTTTTTCTTTTTTGGATTTTGTTATTTTAACCTTTTGAATAAAATAAAATTGTTGGCAGCTTCATTTGTTGGGCAACTAACTTGCTTAGTTTTCTTCAACCCTTCGTCCTCCAAATAATTCAGAGCAAACTCTTGAAGGCCCATAACAACTGAATATGTGTTATTTTCCTTACAGATAAATTATTTTCTTTTAATTTATTTGATAGACCTTGTACTATAGGAACCCCATCTAATGGAAAATGTAATTTTGCTAAAAATAAAATCAAGAAAATTACCTGAGCAAAGACCAGGAATACTGTGGCAATAACAAAAGATGTTATAGATGTCCCAAAATACCATAACACAAACCAGCCAGCAGCATTCAGTAGTAAAATATGCAGAAGCATCAGGAAAAAGTAGACTTTGTTTGGCTTGAAGAGTCCCATCATTTTAACAGTGGATAGTAGCTCCCGAAAATCTTCTACTAATAATTTCTATGAAAAACAACACAACAAATTTGCAGATATTTTGTCTCTATGAATACTGAATAGCTAGCTAGTGGCCTCAACAGTTAACATCAAGACCTCTTGATGGAATTGCCCTCCAAACTATCATTTTCTCAGAAGAATTGCCCTCCAAACTACTCATTTTCACACAGAAAAACTGTGTGAACTCAAATTTGATAAATAGATTGGTGGCCTTACCTACAGATTCAAACAAGATATAAAAAAGATTCAGAACAATATGGATTTCAAAACGAGCAACAAGAAATGGACAAAATATTAACAGGGATTGATGAAAAAATGATCACCAAAACATAAAATTGCCTTCTTAAATTTAAAATGGAGGAGGAAACTGTGAAAGAAACAATGATAATTTGAGCTAAAAATTTTGGATATAATATTGAATTGGAGCAGTGGGAAAAATTATGGAGAAAAAAATTAGAAAATGATGATGTCGGCCGCACATAAGGAGAACATTTACAAAATATTTTATAGATGGCATTTACCCCCAGCGAGATTGGCAAAAATGTTTCCCAATAGACCACCAAACTGCTGGAAATGTAACCACCAACAAGAGACATACTACCACATGTGGTGGACATGTCCCAAAGCCAGAGAATATTGGACAAAAATTAAAAAATGGTTGGAGGAAATTACTAAACAAAAAATTGATATGAAACCAGAGTTATTTCTTCTGGGTATAATAAAAGGAAATATAAGTAAAGAAATTCAATACATCATGCTCCATATAATTACCGCAGCCAGAATTACATTTGCCCAAAACTGGAAGCAAGAACACACTCCATCAAGTGCAATGATTATAAAAAAGGTACTAGAATGTGCAGAAATGGACAAATTAACAATGGAATTAAGGGACAGAGAGGAAACAGTGTATTATGAGACATGGAATAGGTGGTATAATTGGCTTGAAAAGAAGTCTAAAATCAACTTATAGTGAATGTACAGGAAAGACAATAAAATGAAACAATATATATTTGGAGTGTAGTAGACGTGTAAATATTGTATATATTATATAAATAAGCAACTAAGAAATAAGAATGTATATGTATAAAACATTAGGCCGATGGATAAGTTGAAATTAAGAAAAAATTCCGATAATGGAAAGCTGTAAAAGTGTAATTGTGATTTTAAAGGTTAAAAACATTGAATAAAAATATATTTTTTTAAAAAAGATATCGATATAGATATATAGACTGATAGACAATTTACAACCCACACATTGAATATATGGATCATCCTTCATTATTCAGTTAACAATTGCTCAAAGTTACTTGTGACTTAAGTGACTTATGACCATTTTTCACACTTATGATTGTTGCAGCATCCTCATGGTCATGTGATCAAAATTAGCAACTGGCTCATATTTATGATGGTTGCAGTGTCTTAGGGTCCTATGATCACCTTTTGCAACTTTCTGACAAGCAAAGTCAATAGGGAAGCCAGATTCACTTAACAACCATGTTACTAATTTAACAACTGCAGTGATTAACTTAATAATTATGGCAAGAAAGGTTGTAAAATTGAGCAAAATTCACTTATGTCAGATTGATATAGCTTCGAGTGTCCACAAAATGGCACCAATTTATAGACTCCTCCAATGCACATACTAATTTGTGATCAGAGTGTTACTAGAAGCCATTTGAAGGTGGTGCAGTGGTTAGAATACATTATTGCAAGCTAACTCTGCCCACAGATAGCAGTTCGATCTTGACTGGCTCAAAGGTTAACTCAGCCTTCATCCTTCTGAGATAGATAAAATGTTGGGGGCAATATGCTGACTCTGTAAACCACTTAGAGAGGTCTGTAAAGCACTATGAAGCAGTATGTAAATCTAATAGTTATTGCTATTATTATTAGTTTAAAAGAATACCAAGTGTTGTGTTATTCAGTGCTATTTTTGTTCATATATTTATTGTAATATATTTGTTCATTAAATTTATTTATATAGTGCATTTGTAATGTATTCTAAATTCACTAAGTAATATGTTCTTAACTGTAGTATTGTCAACTCTCACGTACCGGCTGGCTGGCCTGGAGCTACGATTTGACTGGTGAGCTGCCAGTCAGCGGCCAGGCCAGAGACCACTGCTCGACGATGCCCACCCATTCAAGAGCTGCCTGCCTTGCTGCCTTGCCAGGACTCACCTCCCCAGGCGGTGGAGATGCAGTGGCAGCACGAGTGATAGCCGGAATGGGCCAGCCACCCAAGGAGACACCAAGCATGCCAAACAGCTGAGAAGCAGTCACATGCCGATTACCAATGACAGTGTGGTAGCAGCCAGGAGGCAGCCATTGCTATCACAGGCCATCCTGGATCTCCATTGAGGACTGGCCAAGCAGGTGTTGTGATCCGTCAGCAGCCTGCAGAGCTGGCAGCGGAGTTGGACAGTGAGTCTGGGGAGGAACATGGGCCAGTCCTGGAGTCTGGGGAAGGCCAGGGTGAGGGCTCTACGTCAGAGGCAGAGATGGGGCCATGGCCATCTGGAAGTGATGTGCAGACTCCAGAGCCCACAGAGTCAGAGAGCAGAGAGGCAAAGGAACAGGAGGAGCCTGTTCCTAGTGCACACATGTGCAGAGCTGTCAGAAGGCAAGAGTAGCTAAAGCAAAAAGGATGACTTGGGAGTAAGGCCAGAAGATGATTGGCTCCTCCCATAAGGCTTAAAAGAGAGACAAAGGCACTTGGGCCTTTTTGCAGGAAAGCAATATTGCTATCTCTGTTTCCAGTTGGCATCTCTTGTTTGTTTCTGAACTTTGTAGGGCTTTGCTAAGTGAGGCCTTTGGCAGAGTATCAAAGAAGATACCCTGTTTTCCCCAAAATAAGACATCCCCTGATAATAAGCCCAATTGGGCTTTTGAGCGCATGGCAATAAGGCCAAGCATTTATTTCAGGGTTCAAAAAAATATAAGACAGGGTCTTATTTTGGGGAAAACATGGTAAAGGTTGGTGATTATCCCGAGGGACTTCTTCCAAAGGACTTTTTTGCAACTAATTGGGACTCAGCTGGGAATGAACATAATTCTCAGCTGTTACAATAAAATAGATTTGTTTGGGACTAATAGTATCTTGTAATGACTCAGTAAGCCTAGGTCAGTAGGGAGGCAGCCAGTGGAACAGAGACATGGCCACAAGGACTGAGGACTGAGGAGGCTGAGACTGAGGAGACTGAAATGTCAGGCAGATGGTGGCTTCTTCTCGCTTCTGGGTCACGTGGGAGGGAGCTGTGCACGTGAGTGGATGGAGTGGTGCTTAGTGATTAAAAGGTGGTGGGGAGCACAGGCAAGTAGCCCTAGCAAGAAATTCATTGCGTTTGTGATTGTCAGTTTGTGCCAGAAGTGGAGTAAAAAAATTAACAAACCATGTTTGCCTCTGGAATCGTTTGGTGCTGTGCCAGGGTTGGAGGCTGCTGACTTTGAGGAGTCAGAGCTCCCACAGAGGTCACTGTACTGGAGGCCCTACTGGGTCCAGCAGATGAGGCACCTGTGGACATCTGGCCAAAGGAATGTCTAGGGTGGCAGAAGCCAGTGGATGACCAAAGGCAGGCAGAGACTGGACAAGGTGAAGGTGAAGCAAGGGAATGGTGGTTCGGCAATTCCAGGACTTTGGACTATCAGGCCTTTCCACCCCAGGGTCTGCTACTCACCCCTTCAAGGGCCTATTTCACACAGTGGTGGGAGCGGCAGATCTCCGACGACTGGAGTTACTCCACCACCATGGGTAACCAAATGATCGCAGTGTAGCAGGAGATGTATGGGGTGGCTGGCTTTAGGGAGCAGGGCCATGGCAGTGTCTGGAAGGGGCCTGGGGTGGGCAGTCATCCCTCCCAGGTGCCCCAGCTGCTCGAGGGGGACCCCAGCCATTTCAAGCTGCCTGGCATGGGATGTCCCTATGAGGCCCGGAGGGATGGCCCAGAGGCCAACCCCTGAGATGATGAGAGCAACCAGGTTCCCCTACGATCTTCAGGGGGAAGGCAAGAGACCCCAAGGCTATGGTTGGCCCAGCAGTAAGCCATAGCCCCGTAACCATGGGGCACTGGGACCCGCCGGTGGTGAGGGCATCATTCGATTGAAGCCCTGAGAAAGTGGCCCTGTTCCTTGAACCATATAGATAGATATGGCTGGTTATACGTGTCCCAATGGGATATGGTCATGATGGTGGTGGCAGTCATGGAGGGGGAAGCCACCGAGTGGTGGCCGATTTGTACGGCAACCACGCTGCAGAATTAGGGGACATGGGCCCCTTCCTTCCCCCCCCCAGAGAGGTTTGAGGATAACACCAGGGCACAGCAGGCCGAGGGAGACCTATTGAAGATGAAGCAGAGAGGGAGGCCTGTATCCAAGTACATCAAGGAGTTCAGGTGGCTCATTGGAAAGGTACGCAGGTGGCCTGAGAGGTTAGTGGTGTACCACTTGAAGGCTGAGCTTGATCGGACTTCGCGGCAAGTCTGTGCATGCCAAGGACTGGCCCCCAGGCTGGCAGCCTGGTTCCAGGCTATAACGGAGCTGGACGTCGAGTTTCAGGACAAATGACAGAGAAGGGATTGGAGTCCACGAGGCCAGCGACCACCAGTGCTGTCCCGGGAACCCAGCCTTCCTCTGCCCAGGTGCAGCCCATGATGGTATCAGAGAGGGCCCCACCCCAAAGTGCTTCTGCTGTGGGAAGCCAAGACACAGGGCCGCCGAGTGCTCCAAGGGGTGTTCCAAGGCATCCCTGGGCCCTACTAGCATGAAACGAGGATCCACCCGAAAGAGTACAAGAGCCACTCTGGAGAAGTTCCGTGGGGCACGCCAGATGGTCCAGTCAAGCCTGGTGGAAGAGGTATCTGCTCCGATGGACAGCACTGACACCAGCGGGAGCAAAGGGGAGGCTGATCTGATGCTTTGTATGCCCATCAAGCCCTTTGTAGTGCAGATGGTGCTGGAGGCGCACCGACGTTGCCTCATGAGCAAGGCTGTTGCCTCTGAATTGCGGGTGGGACTACAGAGGTTAGTCTGGCCAATCTGAGCAGATGGATGGGTCTTTGTTGGGAGGCCAACCAGCCAGGCACGTTACCAAAAAGGTGGTGTTGGAAATCGGTCAACATAGGGAGGTACTGCGTTTTGTGGTGGTTCCCTGAATAACTGAGGAGATTGTCCTGGGCCTGGCCTGGCTGGAGAAATGGGGCCCTACAATATGGTGGGGGGTGGTTGCTGACATTTAAGGATAGGCCTAAAGCCCAATCCACCATCCCACAAAGGGCTATCCTACACTCCAGGGGTGAACTGTGACAAGGGAAGCATTCCCACCCAGAGCAACTCTGGAGGGGAGTTGGCTTTCCCTAGAGAATATAAAGATTTGCAGGATGTCTTTAGCAAAAGGGAATGTGATATCGTACCTCCCCACCATCCCACTGATTGTGGCATAGAAATACTCCTTGGGGTGACGCTACCAAAACCCAAGATGTATTCGATGACACCCCCCCCCAAGGAGCTGGCCAAAATGAGAGCCTACATCAAGAAAAATCTAAAAAGGGGCTTCATTCAGCCAGCTAGGTCCTGAGTGACGGCACCCATCCTATTTAGGTAGAAGAAAGACCGGGGATGGGGGTAGTGTTGTGTTTGTGTGTTGACTTCAGAGAAATCAATGTATGTGTGGAACACCTGTACCCCCACCCTCTGTTAAAGGATATGATGGCCAGGTTGTTGGAAGGGTGGTTTTTCACTAAGTTAGATCTCTGGGAGGCATATTATAGGATCAGAATCAAGGCCAGAGATGACGGCCTTTAATTGCCCTCTGGGGAGCTATTAGTTTTGGGTTATGCCCTTTGGGTTGCAAGAAGCACCACCAGTGTTCATGCAGCTCACTAATGAGGTCCTGCATGAACACTTGTATAAGAGGGTACTCGTTTATTTAGATGATATCCTCATATACACCTGAACCATGGAGGAACATGTTAAACTGCTGAGGCAAGTGCTCCAAAAACTGTTGAACTCACACTTGTACATCAAACTCTCCAAGTGTGAGTTCCATAAAACAACCTTGTACTATCCCCAAATGGCATAGAAATGGACCCAACTAAGGTCAAAGTGGTATTGGACTGGCAAGCCCCCAAAACATGGAAACAGCTGCAGAGTTTTTTGGGGTTCGCTAATTTTTACCGTCAGTTCATCCCGTCCTTTGCCCAAGTGGACTTCCACTAACCAATATATTGAGAACAAAACATCTAACCAAAAAGCCACATCTGAGGTGTCCAGTCATAAGGACAACTGAATGTCAGCAGGCCTTCGAACAGTTGAAGTCCCTGTTTGCAAGCTGAAGCACCCGGATCCATTGAGACCTTTCATGGTGCAGGCAGATGCCAGTGAGGTAGTGGTGGGAGCAGTTCTCTTACAGGTTAATGAGGAGGTGGTCCTCCAACCGTGTGTGTATACATCACAGAAATTAAACAACACCGAATGCAACTGGCCCATATGGGAGAAGGAAGTGTTTGTGATTCGATGGGCCTTATTGACATGGAGACACCTTCTGGAGGGGGAAAGCATCCCCTTTGAGATCTGGATGGACCACAAGAACATGGAGGCCCTCCAGGCCCCATGTTGGCTGGCCCTGAAACAGGTCTGCTGGGCGTTATATTTACAGAGGTTTAACTTTTGCCCAGGAAGCCACAGTATGACAGTGGGCGAGAGGAGGTAGTCCAGGCAATAATACTAGCCAAGTCGATGCAACAAACATCAGCGGCATCCCCACTGTACTCCCCAGCCGAGGATATACCCTGGGCTATCCAAGAAGCCCTTGCCACCGATCCGTGGTTCCAAGGGAACCAAGCATGACTGACACAGAGGGATGGATTTCCTTGGAAGGGGTCCAAGATTTATGTGCCCAGTACTGTGCGATTGAACGTACTATGGCGTTACCATGACGTTCGGCCGGCTGGCCATTTCGGGTTTCTAAAAACCTTACATTTAATGAATCAACAGTTCTGGTGTCTGCTCATGAAGAAAGATATAGAGGAGTATGTATGTAGCTGTGCTGTGTGTAACACCATGAAAGTCTGGCCTGGGAAACCTCCCAGTCTCCTACAACCCTTGGCAGCTCTGGTCCAACCATGGCAACAGATAGCCATGGACTTAATCAGGGAAATACCATAATATGAATGGTTATCAATCTATTCATTGCCTGCCCTGGCCTTCTGTCAGCTAGGAAGTTGGCAAAGCTTTTTGTTGTGCACATCTATTGGCTCCATAGCATCCCCCAATGGATAATCTCCGACCAGGGAGTACAGTTCACTGCCAAGTTTTGGCACAAATTCCTGGCAATGGTGGGGTCCAAACAGGGCATCAGTTCAGCATTTTATCCAGGTACAAATGGGGTGGTTGAAAGAGCAAACTTGATGGTGGAGCGGTACCTGTGCTGTTATGTTAACCATCAGCAGACTGATTGAGCTGACTTGCTGCCTTTTGCGGAAGTAGCGTACAACAATGTAGTACACAGCAGTACTGGCTTCATCCTGTTCCAGGTGGCCACTGGGAGGGAGTCCGTACCAATACCTGAATGTCCCCAGGAAACCATGGAGGAGCCAGACCTACATGAGTGGATGGCTTGGACGCAACAGGGTTTGGATAAGAAATTAGGTCCAAAATACATTGGGCTGTTCTCAGTAGTGAAGGTGATTAACCCCGTTATGGTTCAGCTCCAACTGCCTCGACTGCTGGGGAAAACACACCCTGTTTTCCATTGCAGTCTGCTCCTTCCAGTCCACACCTCCCCCATCAGGGGAACTTTCCCTCAGCCACCCCCACCGCTCATAGTGGATGGTGACCAAGACTATGAAGTGAAAGAAGTAGTAGACACCCAGTGGCACAGTGGAAGGCTGCAGTACCTCATTCTATGGAAGGGATATCCCCTTTCTGACACATCGTGGGTACCCGATATGGATGTCTGAGTCCCCTGACTAGTCGCTAGGTTCCATCAGAAATATCCTGGGAAGCTGGGTAGGACTGTTCCCTTGCCTCCCTCTACTCACCATGTTCTTTGCCTTCCAGACACTGTCTCCATGGTAGGGGGGCTACATGTCAGCTCTGGCGTGCTGGCTGGCCCGGAGCTGCCATTTGACCAGGGAGCCTCCACCCTGATGCTGCCGGCCAGCCGCCAGGCCAGAGACCACTGCTTGACAATGCCCAGGAGCCGCTACTGAGCCACTGAGCCAGGACTCACCTCCCCAGGAGGTGGAGATGCAGTGGCAACACCAGCGATAGCCGAAATGGGCCAGCTGCCCAAGGACACACTGAGCATGGGCCATGCAGCTGCCAAACAGTTGAGAGGTGGTCACATGGTGATTATGTCACCGACGACGGTGCGGCAGCAGCTGGGAGGCAGCTGTAACTATCACAGGCTGTCCTGGATCTCCGTTGAGGACTGGCCAAGCAGGGAGGCAGCCAGTGGAGCAGAGATGTGGCCACAAGTCTAAGGACTGAAGAGACTGTGGAGGCTGAGACTGGGGAGACTGAACTGGCAGGCGGATGGTGGATTCTTCTCACTTCTGGGTCACATGGGAGCAAGCTGCGCGTTTGAATGGGTGGGGTTGCTTAGTGATTAAAGTGATTAAAAGGTGATGGGGAGCATGGGCAAGTAGCTCTAACAAGAAATTCATTGTGTTCATGATTGTCAGTTTATTCCAGAAGGGGAGTAAACAAATTAACAAACCACGTTTGCGTTTGTAGTCTTACTTGTCTTTTTGGAACATGGCAAGTATTTTATTACTGTTATAAAATATGTAATTGATACTATGAATTAATATTAATTATTATTTCTGATTAAATATTTATGGAACTGTTATTGGGCTCTATTTACTTACTTTAATCACTTTATATAGCTGCCCATTCAATGACTTCCATCAGGTAACATCAGTAGATACCCATTGGCCAGAAGTCCCACCACAGATCATTCCCAAGCATGATGAATTCTGTTTCAGTGCCGTGCCCAGGTCTGAAACCTGACTGAAAAGGATCCAGATAAACCATTTTCTCCAGACTCTCTGAGGCTGCACTGCAACCACCTGCTTAATAATCTTGAAAGAGAGGCTGGAATTGATTAAGTGGAGGCTGAGGAAGGCAGCCAGAAAGAACTGAGCTTACTTGCCCAATCTTATTGCCCAACTGCATTTTTAAAAGTACCATGGATCTTGTCTGGCAAAATCAGATAGAAAATCATCTGATGGGACATAAAATGAGTTTGTTCTACATCCAGAGGATGAAAAGGGTAAAACTGTGTACATTCACTCTACATTGGACACTAGCTGGATATGTCTTCTTGAGATGACAGAAGCCTCATCTTGTGGGGTTATTGGGGTTCAGTTTGAATCTGTGGAGCCTAAAGAAGCAAACAGGGTTCTCTCCATGTTATTCTCACCTGTGGATCTGAGTCCTGCTTGCTTAGTGAAAGCAAACAGAAAGATGAGAGGAGGCTGAGTGTGAGTGATAGTGAAGATATCCTTTGGATATCTTTAGGAAGAATCAAGTGCAGCTTCAGGGCAAAGAGGTGGAGAGTGGATGGGAATGGAGTGGCAGATACTAAGATCACTTCCTAATTAAAAGTCTGCTGAAGGAAATGGACTTTTACTGTTTTTATAATTGCCAAGAGATTGGAGTGAAATACAAGGATAATGCAGAAAGATTGAGGAGCTCCTTATAAAATCTCTTTTGTCGGCCTAAATAGCAGATCAGTTTTAATGACAAAAGCGATCTTTGAGTCAAGCTCTATAATATTTAAGGGTATACAGTTTAGCACCATAAATCACTATCTCAATTTTCTGTCTCCAAACTTACATTTTTACTGGGTTCAAAGCTGGGCTGATCAGGTGCCAATTCCCCAATCAAAAGAGATGCCATATACTTCCTTACAAGAGTCTTGTCAAGGTGAAAGGCTGTAAAAGGATCCTAAAGGCAAAACATAAAGAAAGAAAAAAGAAAAAAAATTATAATAAAGAACCAAATTAACAGCAACCTGGAAGAAACATGTTTAGGCTGAGTGATTATATTTGAGTCTTACTTTTCTTCTCATATGATTTATCAACCATATGCCAGTCCCAAGCCCCCCAAAATGGGAAGTGTTAGGGAATGCAGTGGTGAACTATCCTGCAAAAAGTCTCACCAAAACACTTTATGGCAATAACTCAACATGACTCAGATTGAATACCAAGCTGGATGATAGCCTACAAGCTACTGGAGAAGAGCAAGAACTAGCTTTTAGAGTTTTTATGATGTTGTTGGAGGAAAGCCTTCAGGAAGCCCATGTGGCCCATAATGAAAGAGTTGCCCACAACTCTACAATGCTATATCGAATTGGATCATGGAATGTTAAAGGCATATCCCTTAGGAAACTCAAAATTGTAAAACGAGAAATGATTAGAGTGAATATAGACATCCTTGGAATCAGTGAGTTATACTGCACAGGGAGTGGTCAGTTCAAATCAGACAAGTTTATGGTTTTTTTTTCTGGAAACAATATCAAATGTAAAGGATTTGGATTCTGTGTAAGCAAACAAGCAGCTAAATGTATTGAGAATTACATAGCATAAGTGATTGCATACTAATTTGAGTTAAGCCACTCAATATCACCATACTACAAATCTATGCTCCAACTATAGACTCAAATGATGAAATTGAACTTTTTTACAGTGAGCTTCAATGTGCTCTCAAGCAAATACCAAAAAGGATCTTTTGTATATTATGGGTGATTTCAGTGCAAAAGTAGGCCAAGGAGAAGTTTCAAGAATAGTAGGCAAGTTCGGGCTAGTGGAATGGAATGAAGCTATTGATTGCCTAGTGCAATTTTGCCAGGAAAATCATCTCAGCATAATGAACACATGGTTTATTCAACACATGCAACATTTATATACGGTATTTTTCGGAGTATAAGATGCTCTGGAGTATAAGGCACACCTTAGCTTTTGTGGAGGAAAATAAGAAAAAAAAAAAGTCTTCCTCTGCCTACCAGCATACATCAGTATTCATCTGGCTAGCATCCTGTCAGTGTGTGAGAGAACTGAGGGCTGTTTGGAAACTGAAACAGTATTTGCTGTGTGAACAACAAGGAAACAGCAAGGAGCCTGGGCATGGCTTCTGTACTAAAGCTGCATGCTCTGCTGAGCTCTGAAACTAAAACTGAAACTGAAAATCCTCTCCTCTGCTTGTGTTTTGCTTGTATTTACTACCAAGTTGGAAAATCTGCTTTTGGTATTGTATATTTACTTCAATATATAAAGAGAAGTTATTGAATCTTGCTGAGTCAGTTACTTATGTGTGCTTTCTGGATGTGATTGCTGTTGCAAATTCTGACACGTCCTTACAGCAAATAGTGAACAGCCAGGTCAGCTTCAGCACATTATTGCAGCCTGATTCAGCACAAGCAGCTGATTGATGGGTGGATCTCCCTCCCAGAATACCCCCAATCAGCTGTTCCAGGCTGCAGGGATTGCCACAGACCATCGCCGTCTCTGTGCCTCATGTTTTTGGCCTCGTGGGTAGGACTACATTCGATGTATAAGACTACCCAAATTTTCACCCTCTTTTAGGGGGGAAAAGTGCATCTTATACTCTGAAAAATACGGTAAACGGACAGCACCAAATGGACAACATTAAAAATCAGATAGATTTCATTTTATGCCAACAACACTGGAAAAGTTCAGCTGCATCTGTTAAAACACTTCCTGGTACTGATTGTAGCTCAGACCATCAGCAATTAGTGTCTAAACTGAAGCTCAAATTTTGCAAAGTGAAAAAAGGTATTCTCCCCTCCCAAAAATCAATCTGAACAACATCTTACCTATGCATGTCATAGATGTTAAGAATAGTTTTGAATCATTGAATATAGAAGGGAAAGTGAGCTCCAAATGAACAGTGGTGAGAGATCATTGAAATTGATGGAAAGTACAGTATGTGTCACACTAAAAACCAAAGAGAACAACAAGTGGCTGATGACACCATCAAAATAGCTGGTCAGAGAAGGGCAGCCAAAGACAAAGGTAATAAGGGCGAAATTAAAAAGCTTAATGCAATTTTCCAACATGAAGCCAGGAGAGACAAAAGTAGACAGCGGGAGGAGGAGTGTCAATATCTGGAAGAAGGTAACAGGAAGGGACGTAGCAAGGTCATGTTTGCCATAGTGAAAATGATGTGATCCAGTTTTTCAGCACAGCAAGGACCACAACAGGAATGTACTAAGTAACCAGCAGAAGATCAAGAACAGATGGAAATAACATACAGAATGTCTCTATAGCAATTTGACTTACCATCAAGATGATAATGATGACAGCCCAATTAATAATGAATGAAACATCTTGAAAAAAGAAGTAGAATTGGCTATGGAGAAATTTCCAAACTGGAAAGTCTTGATTATTGATGAATCTGCGGAATTACTAAGACCAGTGCCAGTTAACATCATCACTGCCCTGCGTCAAGAGTTATGGACTATTTGTTAATGGCCTCGGGATTGGAAAAAAAATGTTTTTAATCCCACTGGTAAAGAAAAGTGCTGCCGGCAACTGCTCCAACTATTGCAAGATTGCATTGATTTCTCATGCAAGCAAGCGTCTGTTAAAGATCATTAAACAGAGGCTACAGAATATCATCAATCATGAGTTACAAACTGGCTTTGGAAAGGGGCACGTCACTCGAGATCACATTGCAGATCAATATTAGATGGATTATGGAAAAAGCACGACTGTCAAAAGGACAATCCAGGGAGCCTGGATAGCTCAACAGAAAGAGCTCTGTAATTTAACACCAGCTGTCTGCAATTAAAAGTAAGATCGAATCTCGACAGGCTCAAGGTTGACTCAGCCTTCCATCCTTTCTAAGGTAGGTAAATTGAGGACCCAGTTTGTGGGGGCAATAAGCTGACTTTGTATAAATATACAAAAGTATGAAGGCTATTGCTTAGCGCATTGTAAGCCGCCCTGAGTCTCCGGAGAAGGGCGGCATATAAATCAAATTTTTTTAAAAAAAGGATCTATATATGTGGTTTATTGATTAAGGAAAGCTTTTGACTGTGTAGTACACAATAAGCTATGAGAGGCTTTGTGTGACCTTGATGTCCCAACCCATCCGATCAGACTTATCAGATCATTGTACACTGATCAGGATGCAACAATGAGAAGTCTATGGTGCCACAGATTGGTTCAGCATCAGTAAGGGAGTTAGGCAGGGAAGCATTTTATGACAAATTTTTGTTCAATCTGAAGTAATTATGTGAAAATTAGACCTGGAATTGCCTGATGTTGGAGTGAAGATTGGGGGAAGAACCATAAATAATTAGAGATACGCAGATCATACAACACAATTGGCTGAAAATAAGGAAGACCTGGAAAAAAATTATCTGGAAAAACAGGATAAAAATAAAAAAAAAATAGGATTGGATCTTAACATCAGGAAAACAAAGATAATGACAACAGCTACAGATGCATATGAAATGTTTAAAATCAACAAGGAGGAAATTGAATTAACTCGAGAATTATATGCTTCTTAGATCAAAAACTGTTCACCTTGGCAGTTGTACTCCTGAAATCAAACACAGACTAACCTTAGACCACACTGCAATGGTTAACATGAATAAGATCTAGAAAAGCATAAACAATGATATAAATACAAAAAGCAGGCTAGTTAGAGCAATAGTTTTCCCTATAATGATGTATGAGTCTGAGAGTTGGACACTAAAATGGCTCATAGAAGAATTGATGCCTTTGAACTTGTGGTGCTGGCATAAATAATTGCGTATACCATGGGCAGCCAGAGCAACCAACAGAGAGATTGTGAATCGTATAAAACCAGACACATCATTAGAAGCCAAAATCACAAGACTATGTCTGATTTACTTTGGTCATGTCATGCATGCAAATTTATTTGAAAAGTCAATGATGTTAGGAATAGTTAGTGGAACAAGAAGAAAGAGGCAAGCAAAAAACAAGCTGGTTTGATACCATCAAAGCTGATACAAAGAAGAACATTCAATAATTGAAAGAAGTTGTGCTTGATAGGGTAGCATGGAGAGCATTTGCTAAGAGTCGGACATGATGGAATGCTTAAAATAATAACAAGTCATTGTCTATACCCATGATGGCGAACCTATGGTAGGCGTGCCCAAGGTGGCACACAGAGCCATCTTTCTGGGCACGTGAGCTGACGCCCAACTCACATGTGGGCGGGCGCCCCAGCTGGTGTTTAGGCCTCTAGTGCACATGTGCCCAATTCCAGAGACCCAGCTGGTCTTCGGAGATCGCCTGTGCATGCACACTTGTATGCATGTATTGCATGCGCAAAAGCCATGTGCATGCACATATGGTGCAATTGTGCATGCAGTGCATGGGAGAGCCACATGAAAGCCGCACCATGTGCAGAAGGTGCGGTTCAGTTGTGGTATTCATCCAGTTCTGTCCAGCTCACATGAACTAGTAGCGGCAACTGCAGAAGGCTCTGCCCACCTGCCTGGACATAATGCATGACTATTATGCATGCACAGAAGGCCATGCACATGTGCAGCGGTGGCACATGCTCACATTTGCAAACCAGCTGGTCCAGTCTTTGTTTTGTCAGGAATAAATCCTTGAGAGTGTTTTAATTATTGTTTAAAAAATGAATAAAAAGCCCTGCTGATGATGTTACCTAGCCTGTTTGTGAAACGTTCAGGAGCTAAATGGCAAGTTCAGAGAACAAATCACTGCTAAAATGTAAAACCTGAGCTACAAGTATTTTCTATTATTTCAAGGAATAAAAATGTATAAATAAGCAAAAAAAAAAAAACCCTTTAACTTCATTACAGCACTTCAACAACTTTATTTGCTCTAAGATGGGGAAAAAGGGCAGGTGCTGGTCAGAGACAGTGTTTAACTCAGAGTTCCCCAAAGTGATCGGTTCTGATCCACAAGTACTGATGAAATTAT